TCTTGATCGTCATAAACTTGGGGCTCAATCTGTCCAATGCGCTCCTCTTAATAAATTCATTTTACACGTATATCAAGATTTGATAACTTAAATCATAACTTGATATTTAAGTTAGTTTTGTTCACCTAAACTTTTATTTTGAAAAAAATAGAAGGACTAATTTTGATGGATGAAGTACAAGAAAAGAAGACATCTTGATTTTGTGCAAATGGAAAATGAACCCCTTCTTGATTGAAATCTAGCTTTGAAATCAAACGGTTTGATGTGAAATGACGTGAAATGCTTGAATGAATTGGAATAATTTCAATTCGATGGATTAGTAATTCTAGTTGTTGTTATTGTTATTGTGATTATGATTGTGATGATGTGTATTTTATGTTTTATTTATTTATGTGTGTTGTTTGTGACTTGTGTGTGTTTGTGCCTTTGTTTTTGTATGTTGTGTGTGCTTATATGTCTCTGCGTGTCTCTATGTGTGTGCATATCAATGCCTTGTATCTATGTTTTGTGTATGTGCGCTGTCTTCGTCTCTATGTTTATGCATTTGCTCAGTTTTTATGTTTGTCTATGTGTTACTTTGCAAGTGATGTGTTTGTGCCGGTGTCTCTCCATGTGTATGCCCTGCCTTTATCTTTGTATCTACGTTTGTCTTTACTTGTGTATGTGTAATTTATATGTGTTTGGATGTCTCTTTGTTTGTGTCTAGTTTATGTTTTTATCTGTATGTGTATGTATCTCTCTCACTCCCTCTGTGTGGGTGTGTTTGTGACTTTGTTGGTCTGTGTTATGTCTATATTTGTTTGTTTATGTTTGTATGTGCTATTTATCTGTCTTTGTGTATGTGTGCATTGATATATTTAACTTTAAAAATGTATTGATGTTTAGGAAACTTACCATTGCTATGAGATTACAAGTAAATGAAATTCAGGACCTCTTTTTTCCTTCTCAATTTCATTCAGTATATATGGCCACACGAGCATGAAAAGCTTTCACAAGTTGAGCTGTTGGTTGTTGAAGAAACTGCTGCTATTCCACTGCTGGTGGTAAGTCTTTGCTTGGCCCATATCTGATCTTCCTGTCTTCTACTATTAATGGGTATATGATTATATTTTTTTCTTATGCCGAAGGGGAGCTATTAATCATTTTTTTATTGTTGGCCCTGCATCTCTTTAACAATGTTTTATATGTCTCTCCATTTAAGAGAACTGAAAAAAACTGTTTTCTTTTAAATCAAAAGGTTTGAAGGTACTGGATGTCTTCCAAGAGCACAGAGGGCACTGGTTCTGGTGCTTATTTTTGCTACTAGCTTTAAAACATCACCTTAATAAAAAACGTGCATGTCATCTACAATTCATAATGGAAATACATTCTAAATGGATTATGAAATTAAGATATTTGGTTTCAAAAAATCCATTAAATTATTGTGATGCACATATTTTTAAAGGGTGCATGAGTTGTTGCAAAAAAAAAAAAAATTATCTCTCAGGTTGTCTATTTAAGAAAAGAGAACTGAGTGAACCCATGAGATACACTTTTGGGGATCCTATTGAAACTTGGCTCAACACATTACTTTGCTTAGATGTTTCAAATGCCATCCCTAATCTTAGAGATTATTTCTAGCTTATTTCATGTTTTGTTGGAAGATGAGAAAGTTTTTTCAATATCCATTTATGGTTCTTTTGTTCTCAAATTAGGTTACCTCATAGTGAGTGTGATCTATACTATGTTAATCGGGATATTCTTTTTTCCTATCACAAAGATTGTGAATTGTTTTTGCAGGTAAGACCAGATTTATCTGATGATGTTGGGTGGTTTGTGATTAATATTTTCACATGTTTAAATGGGGTGCTAAAGTTTTGTCATTCTTGCAGCGAATTATGGCCATATATGTTGTATCGCATTACAAGAATCCTAAAAAATTTGGTATGGAACGGGCCGTTTCTAGACCAGAACGGGTCGTTCCAAACTGTTAAAAAGGCCTAAATACCTAGTTTGGAACGGGTCGTTCTAAGCAAGGGAATATAGTGTTTCTCTCAAGTCCGGAACGGCCGTTCTCAGTTCAGAACGGGCCGTTCCCAAGGGAATGAGATAGGCATCAAAGGCCAACTTTTCTGACATATTAATCTTAACATAGATTGAAGAGCAACGTGCTATAGATGCAAAAATTAGGATGCGGCAGCAGGAGCTTCAGGATGAAGAGGAAAGAATGCACAAAAGACTAGAAATGAGCTCTTCAAATGCGAATGTGGCAGTTGCAGATGTTGAATACAGTTCAAAAGCGGTGTCTGCATCTTCAATCTCTGTTGTTGAACATGATGAAATTGTTTCTTCTCAAGACTCATGTTCCACATCAGCGGTTTGACCAAATGCAACCACTCGGACCAATAGAGATGAGGAATTTGGTGTTGACCTTGAGGACATTATGGTCATGGAAGCTATTTGGCTTTCCATTCAGGAGAATGGCAGGCAGAGAAATTTATCTTCTGCTGATGCTACTTCTGGACACTACGTAGCTGATGGTGGCGAACTAAAATTTTTAACTCCCTATCACAAGCAAATCACCTAATTTTACTCCATTTTTTTGCAGTCTGGCCGTTTTATCACTTCTAATAATGATAGCATCCAAAAAAAAAATGTCTCATCCCAATCATAAATAGTAGAAAACTTATTATAACTAATCTTAATTTTATGTTAACTATCATTGAATTATCTGATATATAATTAAGGATTGAAATAAAGTGTGAATTTTTATGTTTTGACTAAGATAAAAAACGATATCAAATACATACACAAGACTAAAAAGTTATATATTTTTTAAAATGATATTTAAAGAGTAAATTAAAGTAATATTTTTATACCAATTTTTATTATTTAAATTTTAAAAAGATTGGTTATTTAGGTGTACCAAACTTGTTAGATGAAATAGAGCACCACATTGAAATTTAAATAATAAATAGATTTAGTTTAAGAATCATTTTAAACGATTTATTCATTTATTTCTCGAATAGGAACTCTCAAAGCAGGAAAACAACATGACATCAGAGGGCTGAAAGCCCAAAACAACTGGTTTTAGTGGCCCGGAACGGGCTATTCCAAAACGGGAACGGGTCGATCCCGAATCTGGAACGGGCCGTTCCGAGCCACCTAAAAGGCTTAAAACTCTTGGTTGGAATGGGTCATTCCAAACCAATTAAAAGGCCTAAAAAATTTGGTATGGAACGGGCCGTTTCTAGACCAGAACGGGTCGTTCCAAACTGTTAAAAAGGCCTAAATACCTAGTTTGGAACGGGTCGTTCTAAGCAAGGGAATATAGTGTTTCTCTCAAGTCCGGAACGGCCGTTCTCAGTTCAGAACGGGCCGTTCCCAACTACGTGATTAACACACAACGTTCGAATCCAGAACGGGCCATTCCGAATCCGGAACGGGCCGTTCTGGCCCCAATCAGATGTCTATAAATAGCCGTCTCGGGCACCAAGGCTCCCAAAAGCGGTGTCTGCATCTTCAATCTCTGTTGTTGAACATGATGAAATTGTTTCTTCTCAAGACTCATGTGCCACATCAGCGGTTAGACCAAATGCAACCACTCGGACCAATAGAGATGATGAATTTGATGTTGACCTTGAGGACATTATGGTCATGGAAGCTATTTGGCTTTCCATTCAGGAGAATGGCAGGCAGAGAAATTTATCTTCTGCTGATGCTACTTCTGGACACTACGTAGCTGATGGTGGCGAACTAAAATTTTTAACTCCCTATCACAAGCAAATCACCTAATTTTACTCCATTTTTTTGCAGTCTGGCCGTTTTATCACTTCTAATAATGATAGCATCCAAAAAAAAAATGTCTCATCCCAATCATAAATAGTAGAAAACTTATTATAACTAATCTTAATTTTATGTTAACTATCATTGAATTATCTGATATATAATTAAGGATTGAAATAAAGTGTGAATTTTTATGTTTTGACTAAGATAAAAAACGATATCAAATACATACACAAGACTAAAAAGTTATATATTTTTTAAAATGATATTTAAAGAGTAAATTAAAGTAATATTTTTATACCAATTTTTATTATTTAAATTTTAAAAAGATTGGTTATTTAGGTGCACCAAACTTGTTAGATGAAATAGAGCACCACATTGAAATTTAAATAATAAATAGATTTAGTTTAAGAATCATTTTAAACGATTTATTCATTTATTTCTCGAATAGGAACTCTCAAAGCAGGAAAACAACATAACATCAGAGGGCTGAAAGCCCAAAACAACTGGTTTTAGTGGCCCGGAACGGGCTATTCCAAAACGGGAACGGGTCGATCCCGAATCTGGAACGGGCCGTTCCGAGCCACCTAAAAGGCTTAAAACTCTTGGTTGGAATGGGTCATTCCAAACCAATTAAAAGGCCTAAAAAATTTGGTATGGAACGGGCCGTTTCTAGACCAGAACGGGTCGTTCCAAACTGTTAAAAAGGCCTAAATACCTAGTTTGGAACGGGTCGTTCTAAGCAAGGGAATATAGTGTTTCTCTCAAGTCCGGAACGGCCGTTCTCAGTTCAGAACGGGCCGTTCCCAACTACGTGATTAACACACAACGTTCGAATCCAGAACGGGCCATTCCGAATCCGGAACGGGCCGTTCTGGCCCCAATCAGATGTCTATAAATAGCCGTCTCGGGCACCAAGGCTCCAAAATTTCGTTCAGACTCCCTAGAGCTCGAAATTTCTCTCTTTTCTCTTTCTCTCTTTTATATTTCTTGAGATTTAGTGAGATATATTGTAGTGTGAAAGGTCGCCACAAAGCACCTAAAATCTTCCTATTTTGAAGACTCAATAGAGCTCATTCAAGAGGTATTTCAGTTAATCTTTTTCTCTTCTTTTTATTTACTTATCTCTAATAAATATTGTTATAATAATAGCAATCAT